CATCGGTCCTGGGGGGACAGGGACAGGGACAGGGACAGGGACAGGGACAGGGACAGGGTCAGGGACAGGGTCAGGGTCAGGGTCAGGGTCAGGGACAGGGTCAGGGACAGGGTCAGGGACAGGGTCAGGGTCAGGGACAGGGACAGGGACAGGGACAGGGACAGGGACAGGGTCAGGGTCAGGGACAGGGACAGGGACAGGGACAGGGACAGGGACAGGGTCAGGGACAGGGACAGGGACAGGGACAGGGTCAGGGACAGGGTCAGGGTCAGGGTCAGGGACAGGGACAGGGTCAGGGTCAGGGACAGGGACAGGGACAGGGTCAGGGTCAGGGTCAGGGACAGGGTCAGGGACAGGGACAGGGTCAGGGTCAGGGACAGGGACAGGGACAGGGACAGGGACAGGGACAGGTCAGGGACAGGGACAGGGTCAGGGTCAGGGTCAGGGTCAGGGACAGGGACAGGGACAGGGTCAGGGACAGGGACAGGGACAGGGTCAGGGACAGGGACAGGGTCAGGGTCAGGGACAGGGACAGGGACAGGGTCAGGGACAGGGTCAGGGTCAGGGACAGGGACAGGGTCAGGGACAGGGACAGGGACAGGGTCAGGGACAGGGACAGGGTCAGGGACAGGGTCAGGGACAGGGTCAGGGACAGGGACAGGGTCAGGGACAGGGACAGGGTCAGGGACAGGGACAGGGACAGGGTCAGGGACAGGGACAGGGTCAGGGACAGGGACAGGGTCAGGGTCAGGGTCAGGGACAGGGTCAGGGACAGGGACAGGGTCAGGGACAGGGTCAGGGACAGGGACAGGGTCAGGGACAGGGACAGGGACAGGGACAGGGACAGGGACAGGGACAGGGTCAGGGTCAGGGTCAGGGACAGGGTCACCCCCCCCAGAAGGTGAGAAAAGTTGACGTGTTTGTTCACAGCTGCAGTACCGTGTTCTCACCACCAGGTGTCACCTTTCAGAATAAAAGCCCAGAGTCTCTTTCACTTTAACGTTTATTCTCAATAAAAAAAAACAACAGTCTAAAGTTCACAAACAAACAAACAAACAAGTTTCTTCAGCTGCTCAGAGTTTAACTTCTCTCCTCAAACTGAGATTTGTTCTTCAGCAGGAACGCAGCCAGATACTCGATCGGGTTCGGAGGTCTGAAAACAACAAGACACAGACGAGGATTCAGGGAGCGTTCAAGGAAACACAGACGAGGATTCAGGGAGCGTTCAAGAAAACAACAAGGAGACACAGACGAGGATTCAGGGAGCGTTCAAGGAAACAACAAGGAGACACAGACGAGGATTCAGGGAGCGTTCAAGGAGACACAGACGAGGATTCAGGGAGCGTTCAAGAAAACAACAAGGAGACACAGACGAGGATTCAGGGAGCGTTCAAGGAAACAACAAGGAGACACAGAGGAGGATTCAGGGAGCGTTCAAGAAAACAACAAGGAGACACAGAGGAGGATTCAGGGAGCGTTCAAGAAAACAACAAGGAGACACAGAGGAGGATTCAGGGAGCGTTCAAGAAAACAACAAGGAGACACAGACGAGGATTCAGGGAGCGTTCAAGAAAACAACAAGGAGACACAGAGGAGGATTCAGGGAGCGTTCAAGGAAACAACAAGGAGACACAGAGGAGGATTCAGGGAGCGTTCAAGGAAACAACAAGGAGACACAGAGGAGGATTCAGGGAGCGTTCAAGAAAACAACAAGGAGACACAGAGGAGGATTCAGGGAGCGTTCAAGAAAACAACAAGGAGACACAGAGGAGGATTCAGGGAGCGTTCAAGGAAACAACAAGGAGACACAGACGAGGATTCAGGGAGCGTTCAAGGAAACAACAAGGAGACACAGACGAGGATTCAGGGAGCGTTCAAGGAAACAACAAGGAGACACAGAGGAGGATTCAGGGAGCGTTCAAGGAGACACAGACGAGGATTCAGGGCGCGTTCAAGGAAACAACAAGGAGACACAGAGGAGTGTTATTCAGTGAACTATTAGAGTGGACCCCGTAGATCTAAAGGGGAAGGTGTACCTGTCCTTGGCGAGCACCGACAGGCCCTGCAGCAGGATGGGGACCACAGTTTGGTCCAGGTACGCTCTGGTGGGCAGCGCCTGCAGGTCCACTTTCTGCTTCGACATCTTCTCTGCACTCGCCTTCTCGTTCTCCACCGTCCTCTGAGGAGCAGCAAAGCATGCTGGGAGTCAGCCGCCACTCTGAATATTACACTGTGTGTGTGTGTGTGTCTCTGTGTGTGTGTGTGTGTGTGTCTGTGTGTGTGTGTGTGTGTGTCTCTGTGTGTGTGTGTGTGTGTCTCTGTGTGTGTGTGTGTGTGTGTGTGTTTGTGTGTGTGTGTGTGTGTGTGTGTGTGTGTGTGTGTGTGTCTCTGTGTGTGTGTGTGTGTGTGTGTGTGTGTGTGTATGTGTGTGTGTGTGTCTCTGTGTGTGTGTGTGTGTGTGTGTGTGTGTGTCTCTGTGTGTGTGTGTGTGTGTCTCTGTGTGTGTGTGTGTGTGTCTGTGTGTGTCTCTGTGTGTGTGTGTGTGTGTGTGTGTCTCTGTGTGTGTGTGTGTGTGTGTGTGTCTGTGTGTGTGTGTGTGTGTGTGTGTGTGTGTGTGTCTGTGTGTGTGTGTGTGTCTCTGTGTGTGAGTGTGTGTGTGTCTCTGTGTGTGTGTGTGTGTGTGTGTGTGTGTCTCTGTGTGTGTGTGTGTGTGTCTGTGTGTGTGTCTCTGTGTGTGTGTGTGTCTGTGTGTGTGTGTGTGTCTCTGAGTGTGTGTGTGTGTGTGTGTGTGTCTCTGTGTGTGTGTGTGTGTGTGTGTCTGTGTGTGTGTGTGTGTCTCTGTGTGTGTGTGTGTGTGTGTCTGTGTGTGTCTCTGTGTGTGTGTGTGTGTGTGTGTGTCTGTGTGTGTCTCTGTGTGTGTGTGTCTGTGTGTGTCTCTGTGTGTGTGTGTGTGTGTCTCTGTGTGTGTGTGTGTGTGTCTGTGTGTGTGTGTGTGTGTGTGTCTCGTGTGTGTGTGTGTGTGTGTGTGTGTGTCTCTGTGTGTGTGTGTGTGTGTGTGTGTGTGTGTGTGTGTGTGTGTGTGTCTCTGTGTGTGTGTGTGTGTGTGTGTGTGTGTGTGTGTGTCTCTGTGTGTGTGTGTGTGTGTGTGTGTGTGTGTGTGTGTGTGTGTGTGTGTGTGTCTCTGTGTGTGTGTGTGTGTGTGTGTGTGTGTTACCTGGATGTTCTCTGTCAGTCCGTACTCTGTGTGAGGGTTTTCAGAGACCTGCAGGAGGATTCAGACATCAGAATATGTTTGTTTATAATGTTTGAACAGGAAGCTGTCACAATAAGAGCGCAGAGTCACAGTCCTCTGATTCGTCCTGTTAAATGTTTGAACAGGAAGCTGTCACAATAAGAGCGCAGAGTCACAGTCCTCTGATCCGTCCTGTTAAATGTTTGAACAGGAAGCTGTCACAATAAGAGCGCAGAGTCACAGTCCTCTGATTCGTCCTGTTAAATGTTTGAACAGGAAGCTGTCACAATAAGAGCGCAGAGTCACAGTCCTCTGATCCGTCCTGTTAAATGTTTGAACAGGAAGCTGTCACAATAAGAGCGCAGAGTCACAGTCCTCTGATCCGTCCTGTTAAATGTTTGAACAGGAAGCTGTCACAATAAGAGCGCAGAGTCACAGTCCTCTGATCCGTCCTGTTAAATGTTTGAACAGGAAGCTGTCACAATAAGAGCGCAGAGTCACAGTCCTCTGATTCGTCCTGTTAAATGTTTGAACAGGAAGCTGTCACAATAAGAGCGCAGAGTCACAGTCCTCTGATTCGTCCTGTTAAATGTTTGAACAGGAAGCTGTCACAATAAGAGCGCAGAGTCACAGTCCTCTGATTCGTCCTGTTAAATGTTTGAACAGGAAGCTGTCACAATAAGAGCGCAGAGTCACAGTCCTCTGATTCGTCCTGTTAAATGTTTGAACAGGAAGCTGTCACAATAAGAGCGCAGAGTCACAGTCCTCTGATCCGTCCTGTTAAATGTTTGAACAGGAAGCTGTCACAATAAGAGCGCAGAGTCACAGTCCTCTGATTCGTCCTGTTAAATGTTTGAACAGGAAGCTGTCACAATAAGAGCGCAGAGTCACAGTCCTCTGATTCGTCCTGTTAAATGTTTGAACAGGAAGCTGTCACAATAAGAGCGCAGAGTCACAGTCCTCTGATTCGTCCTGTTAAATGTTTGAACAGGAAGCTGTCACAATAAGAGCGCAGAGTCACAGTCCTCTGATCCGTCCTGTTAAATGTTTGAACAGGAAGCTGTCACAATAAGAGCGCAGAGTCACAGTCCTCTGATTCGTCCTGTTAAATGTTTGAACAGGAAGCTGTCACAATAAGAGCGCAGAGTCACAGTCCTCTGATTCGTCCTGTTAAATGTTTGAACAGGAAGCTGTCACAATAAGAGCGCAGAGTCACAGTCCTCTGATTCGTCCTGTTAAATGTTTGAACAGGAAGCTGTCACAATAAGAGCGCAGAGTCACAGTCCTCTGATTCGTCCTGTTAAATGTTTGAACAGGAAGCTGTCACAATAAGAGCGCAGAGTCACAGTCCTCTGATCCGTCCTGTTAAATGTTTGAACAGGAAGCTGTCACAATAAGAGCGCAGAGTCACAGTCCTCTTTCGGACTCAGGACCTTGGTCCTCAGAGGTCCCACGTCAGTGCTCACAAAGTGGTCTGGCACCTCTCCAGCCCCCCCCAGGTCCCTGCAGGTCCCTGCAGCCCCCCCCCAGGTCCCTCCAGCCCCCCCCAGGTCCCTGCAGCCCCCCCCAGGTCCCTCCAGGTCCCCGCAGCCCCCCCAGGTCCCTCCAGGTCCCTGCAGCCCCCCCCAGGTCCCTCCAGGTCCCTGCAGCCCCCCCCAGGTCCCTGCAGCCCCCCCCAGGTCCCTGCAGCCCCCCCCAGGTCCCTGCAGGTCCCTGCAGCCCCCCCAGGTCCCTCCAGGTCCCTCCAGCCCCCCCCAGGTCCCTCCAG